TTTCTGGCGAGTCCCTATTGATGTGCGCGTGGTCTTTCGTTTTCCTGATGAAACACAGTTCGCCTCTTGTGCCCTTCAGGGCGAGTGCTTTCTTCAGACGGCGAAATTGCTGATAGTTCGAATTTAGAATTTGGCTGTGGTGGAGCAGCTCATAGCATATGATTCCTTGCCAATCTCACCAAACACACAGCAAAGTCTCTTCGTCTACAATCCTACCTTAGAGATCGTTTGCGTTGGCTTAGTACGTTTAGAACGCCACCGTTTTCGTTTGACGTTGCTGTAAATTATCTAATTCTCGTCACCAGTTAACATTCTCTTCAGCAATGTGTCGATTCAGCTGCGATTCGCAGATGGAAATTTGATACACGAGGTTTTTTCAAAAATTATTTATTTATTCATGAATATCTATTTTGTCCCCTTCAAAGTAATCCCCATGAGATATCATACATTTGTGCCAACGGTTTTTCCAATCTTCGGAGCACTTCAAAAAATCATTTTTTTATCTTGTTCAGCTCCTCCTTCGATGCCGTCTTTATCTCGTCAATCGTAGCGTAACGTCGTCCTTTCATGGGCCTCTTGAGTTTAGGGAACAAGAAAAAGCCAAAGGGGGCCAGATCTGGGGTATATGGTGACTGCGGCATCATTAGTGCGTTGTTTTTGGCCAAAAAGTCACGCACAAGCAACGATGTGTGAGCAGGGGCGTTGTCTTGGTGCAAAAGTCAATTTTGTTCTTCCACAAATCCGGTCGTTTCTGCCGGATTGCTTCACGCAAATTGCGCATAGCTTGCTGGTAATATTCCTTATTGGCCGTTCTACCCTGTGGCAATACTATTTTCTCAACTTCAATAATTTTTTCGTCTGTTTATGAAGTGCTCGGGCGTCCGGCACGCTCTTCGTCGTTCACATCTTCTCGGCCTTCTGGGAACATATTGTACCACCGATAAACGCTGCTTTGGTCCAAGGTAGCTTCTCCGTATGCCACAGTCAACATTCGTAATGCATCCGCGCACTTAATTTCGTTTTTCACACAAAATTTTATACAGGTTCTTTGATCAATTTTTTTGAATAGGTAAAAATCGAAGACCATCCAAAACACATGCAAGCAAAGCAGCTGTCAACAATTAAGTGGACATTCAAAATGGCCGAGCTTGGCGGCATAAGTGACAGACATGAGTACCAACATAACGCCACAAAAAAATCGAAATTATACGTAACCCGCGAAAATTCAAAATTCGTGATACTTTTTGAACACACCTCATACCTTATAGATCGAGCTTCTTTCAGCCTTTTTCGATCGGTTGCAAACTGATTTTCGTGTAACTTTTACCTCCTCGGCGATCAAAACAATGTTCACATGACTGACGGTCAGACTCGAAGATATCTATTTATCGACAATTGGCCTTCCACACCGATTTTTTATATCAAAATTACCGAACTGAAACCGACGAATCCTTAAATTGTGCATGATTGAGTGTTACAGTGTTAGGACTATAAAGTCTTTTCAAGCTTTCAACAGCCTGACTTACGTTTTTGCCTCTTTTCTCTTTATTGATGTCCATCTGGAACATGCGCCCCAAGAATACTAAGTTAAAGGGATAAACCACACTTGAAATATAAACTCATTTTTAAAAATTTATTGTAGGAATATGGGAAAAGGAGTGGAATTTATATTTAACCATTTGAGGTATAAAAAAAATAGTCTTTAATTATTATTTTGTTACAAAATGGTGGTGATAAAGTTCACTTTTTCATCCACGTTATTCTGAAAGGCGCCCACGGGAGGACCGATTTCTTCTAAAGGATGAGAACTTGAATAGAAAAGCAAAAAGTTTTATAATCAACAAACTATGGTCTTCAGAAGTACGAACGGATTTATTTTTTAACTAATTTTTCTGAAAATGGCATACTTTTTTTTTTAAAAAAAAGATTGATTTTTGAAAAAGTTTTCGAGTAAACATACTTCCAAATAATCTGTCTGTATATGTTCTTTTTATGTTTCCAACAAATGGGACTTACAGTTGAGTGCTGAGCTCCATAATATAATTTTGAAAAAACTCGGAGCTTTTGACAATTCCCTACTTGATACAAAAAGGCGTATTAAATTTGTCTCACATGAACCCAATTGTATGATATGTTTTTTAAGGGGATACTAAAGTTAAACTCACTTGGTAGGAAACAACTTTGCTTTCAGAATTATAAACACGAAACCCTTCAATAATTGTTTAAGTAGAGAAACTCGAAATCCAGAATTCCTTTCATATTATATTTATCAAAAACATATTTTTATGCTTACGCTTTTGTGTGCTAAACTAAATCAATTTTATTTTAATTAAGAAAAAATATTTTCTTTTTGGTTTTTAAAAAACTGAAATATTAAAAACTAAATATTCAACTATTTTTTTATTTTAAAATATTACAATCTTTTATTACAAATAATCTTGCAATTTTAGCTAATCCAATTTCATTTCCTTCATTTCTTTATACACTTCTTATGGCTATCAATCAGCATATAGATAATAAATTTGTTCATTTTTGTAAATTTTTACATTTTTGTATTTTTTCATATTATTTGGGAACACATAACTTCAAGTTAATCTACCTTTTAAATTTAATAGAATTTTTGCTCTAAATTGTGGACTATATTAATATTTTAAATAATTTATTTTTTGTATATCTAATTGTTTTTGATTTTTTCAAAAAATCACCAGACACAGAGATGAATGAAAATACATATGAAGTTCATCTAATAAGCCTTTCTGTGATAATTTCAAATGAAAATTAGAGCATTTTTTCCAAAAGTTCTTTTCAAATATATATGTATATTAATTAAATTTTTAATTTTTTTTTTCAAAACATTTTCGATTGCGTGGTCCTCTTTGGTTGCAATGGTCACCTCGATTTCTTGTTATAAATCTAACCATAATGGTGAATTAACGAGGGCGGCTGATAAGTTCGCGACCTAAAGTCCTTAATGAAACAAAAGTATAAATTTATGTATTTCATTTTTCAAGATAGTCTTCCTCAAGCGAATCACAGTTTTCAGATTAGGTTTCGCTTTGAACTAGTTTTCTTCGGTCACTTTTATCACACTGTAGTCTGAAAATCTTCGTCCACGTAACTCCTTTTTTATAATTAAAAAAAGGAAAAAGTCACTGGTAGCCAGGTCCGGGTGGATGGTCAGTTTCTGTAAATCCAGTAGCTTTGAAGGCTTGTTTTGGAGAAACAGCATCGACTCCTGACTTGGGGTCATCAACAGATACAATTCAGTTGCAAATTTTATCCAAAAAATCTGTACAACTCTTCAATCGTCGCTGCTTGTCGAGCGACATGAGCATTTGCCTTATCCAACGCGCACTAATTTTTTTATATTCAAATGTTCACGCAAAATCTTCAACTCATTCTTTGTTAATCTGTAATCCTTATACTATACTATCTCCCACAATTTAATTCTACGATCAGCCAGTACTAATTTTTCCACTTTCCGCACTTTTTCCTCAGTCTCGACCGTCACTGGACGCCTCGGCTGGGGGTCATTTTTCTTTCTTGTTGAAAAAGCCGAGCCTATTTTTTCACCAGCGTATATAAAGGGGCAGAGTCCATAAGAACAAGAGATACTTTTTTTAAATTTATTTCGGCGTTCTTTCTTTTCTTAGTCGACTTTCACATGCATCAAGTTTTGAAAGTAATTTTTTTGCTTTCTCTTTTGTGATTGTGATATTTGACGAAATTTTAAAACTTTTGTAAATTTCATGGATATTTTTCCGAAACAGTACTATTTCATTATTTTATTGAAATTAAGGTCTTATATCGTTAAAAATGTATTTATATTAATTTTTCACAATTAAACTTTCCGCCAAAATCAAATTTGTCTACCCGCTCGTTTGGACACCGAAATTAGTTAAACCAAATGAAAAGAAATGGAGAAAAATGTCAAAAACAACGAAATTTTCAAAAGCAAGAAAAAGTGGAAGACTTTTTATAATTATTAAGTAAAATAAACAAACCAGGCCTGTTTGTATGAATTGAATATTTTGTTATACAACAAAGATCCCTGCCATAAGAAGTCCGATGAGAAGAAGTGATGATCTCCGAAACAGCTGTCACTCCTACCATTTTTCTTTGTTGTATAACAAAATACGCAATACTCCGAACGGCTGATGGTTTTTTATGAGGAGCCTTTAATTCCATGTCAGAAATACACTCGGAAAGGTTGACATTCCCTGCCGAGGTGCGACCGCAATTAGAAAAATTAACTTAATTTTTTATTTAAATTAGTTTTCTATAACTTTTTTTCTGGTCACACCGGGATTTGTACCCGAGCCTACCAAATGGCAATACGCAATGCTCACCACTCGGCTATCGCGGCTGTCTACTCTCGGCTCTGAAAAATATAAGACCAATCTTAATCAAAATCACACAATTTGAATGTGAAGTGTTTAGCGAGACTCAAACGCTGTCTTTATAGGCAGAAGCAAATCATATTTCAATTTACTGGCTACAACTGTTAAACAAAGTACTCTTATTACGGTATTATCAGTCATACTCGCATTAACATCTGCAGTCGACAAATGGCTTTCGGGCTGTGCGTCCACTGCGTAGACAAAAGTATTTATGATAATATCTTAAATATTCCCAATACACCAATTTTACAGCGTGCACAAACACACACACATACACATACATACAAAGAAACGAAAACACATTTGCAATGCAAAAATCTCAGCGGCGCTGTAACGCTACGCACACACAAACACAGTGGCGCAAAAAGTAAATAATGTAGATTATGTGTGTATATGTATGTAGCTAACCATTTGTAGCAGCACATTTGCTTACTTGTTTATATATTTATTTACATGTTTCCAAAAATTTGCAAGCACCAATAACCACCACTTGCAGGCCCCACAAAGAACACCCACTAATTTATTTATTTAACATTTAAATACAAAAACAATGCGGAATAGTTATAAAAACAAGCGAAAAAAAACATTGCTCTCTTACAGAATTGGAACAAAAAAATCGCCGTACAGCCGGTGGACCCTCCGGTCTAATAGCCTTCCCGCGTGTCGGACGCAGCGATCCAAATTTGGTAAATAATTTGCATGAAGCTGACGTCTCAGCGTTGAGTGAGAGCATAATGTATCCCGCCTCGTTGGAAGACTATGAAGGTAATTTGGCTCTGGCGCTTGAATTATTTTGTGAATTTTTTGTATTTTTTTTTATTTTTATTTTTTTATTTTTTATCTTTACTCTGAAAAAAAAAACTGCAGTTGAATATCCAAAAAGCGAAATGAAGCGCGCCAGTTTGATTGCCTTCCCACGAGTAGGACGCACCGATGCGGAGATACGCAAGTGGGCGCGCATTATGGCGCTACAGCAGGCACTGAACAAGGGCGCCGGCCCCAGCGCTACTTCAGGCCTCTGGTTCGGACCTCGTTTGGGTAAACGTAGTGTCGATGCGCAGCAGCAGCAACAACAGCAATCGCAGCACAAGTCGACAGCTGGTGGCCAAAAAGAGTTATACTAAGCGGTGCCAGCTCAAGAAAGCAAAACAATAACACTAAAATGTTGACGAAACTCCAAAGCAGCGACCAAGGAAAATGATTATTGTTTTTAAGTAACTCTAAACAGTTACCAAAATGTATAGTTAGCGTAGACTTTTTAGAAAATAAAGCGAATTTTACGGTAAAAAAAAAACTATAAAAAAGATAGAAAAATAAAAATTATATTAAAAAATTAAAAAAAAGCTCAGCTGAAATCAATTGCAAAGAAATTTTTGTGGTGGAAACGGAAAAAAATCAAAAATGTTTGCAAATAAATTTATAAAGAGATCAATTTTTGAATTTGTTGTGCTTTTTGAAAAAAAAAATTTTGAAATTTTAGTTTTTTGGGTAAATAAATTAAATTGAAAATTAAGCCGAAATTAGATCATTTGCAACTGTGTTGCTTTTGTTTTTGTAAACGTGTTCTTCTTAAACGGGCTGGTAAGGGCTGTCATTGTAGTGAAAGTAAAAGTAAAAAAATTATAAAAATTCCAATAAAATATTATATATACATAAATGCGTTTATATAAATTCAAATTCCCCTCTTCCCCATCTACGAACGGAAAGACCCTCCGAGACATACACACACGCACATCATCCACCAAAGCACTTGCATTACAATGAGAGTCCTTTTTAAAGAAATTAACAAACGAATAACAACAACAACTGTTAAAAACAAAATGCTGCACTTTTGCAATGATCGAAAAGTAGTGAGTATAAAAATGGTAGCAGCAGCAAGAACAACAACTCTTAATGGCTGCGTCCTCCCACCCACGGTTTCGTCAAGTTGATATATATATATTTATAGATTAACACAATTTAATATGAAAAATTTTACATATATATGCAAATATATATACATTATATACATACATACAAAATATATATATAAATATATATGTAAACGGATGATAAGAATTATACAATACAAAAAGAGCCCTTTGAATCATTTTTAAATATTTTTAATTTATATACAATACCTAAATATGTATGCATATAAATACATATATATTATACATACATACATATATGCATAAAACTCAAATAAGCTCAAAGTAAAAGTGAAACGAATTACAACTAATATATTTTAAAAAAAAGTTAATATCTTTATTATTGTCATTGTTATTTTTTCTTTATGAGGAAAGTCATATACATTCAAGTAAATATTGTATTTTATTGCAATTAATAAAGTAACACCAAATAACGGTGAAAAAAAGACGAACAACTTTCGCGGAATTTTAATTTGGTAAACATTGGAACTTGAAGAAAATAAGTTTTTGGTGTCAGTGAGATGATCTCATCATCATCTACACAATTACACTGGCCTGAGCAGTTAGCTATCGAAGTATCGAGTGTTTAAGCATGCACCGTAGGATACACCTGATTTCCAAAGCATACTTTTAGGCGCTAACTTACTGTCATTCGATGCACTAAGTGTACTTCTCAGGTGAACAGTGAATAAATCAACTTAAAGTGTTTATTAGATGGTGGCTGGTACAAACTCACCCCCGGTGGAATGGAAATGGCGGAACCACCTCTAGTTTTTTAATATGGAGTTCACTCCAAACTCCTTCAATAGTCATGGGACTCTATGAAAGTATTTATGGTAATAATTTATCATCATATTCCTTACTCTTGAACATCCACTAACTTCTACCCCATAAGTCTGGACATCGAGACTATTTTCCTATTGTGCTTTATCAATGATAGCCTACTTTAACGCAGCTGACCTACTGAGCTGCATAAAATATCGAAATGGAAGATACTCAGAACTTGTCTCATTCTGGCCCTCTAAGTGAAATCGTAGTACTGAGTAGGACTACAAATAAACAGTCACTCTAAACTATTAATGATTATCTATGTACGTACCTTCTTCTTTGGGCATGGGGACCTAAATTGCAAAAAATAATAAACTTTATTTAGGTAAACTCAATAGTGAGGTTCCTAATAACAGTGCGCCATTCACTTCTTCTTTTCGCTGTCTGACGCTAATTGGGAATACCAAATACAGCCAAGTCCTTCTCCTCCTGGTCTTTCCAACAGAGAAGAGGTCTTCCCCTTTCTCTGCTTTCTCATTGGTGTGTACTGCAACGCAAGTTTTCAAAGCTAGCGTACTCTTATCCATTAGAGCCAGAGCCAGCGTAGCCGGCATCTCCTAATTCGCAACAGCAACAAGAATATCTCGCCGAAAACGACGTTTCCATTGAAAAGGAGCTGATGCACTTTGCCAGCTCTTCACTGTCATATTTGAATAGCTGTGCTGGGAGGCCGTCAGCTCCAGCAGTTTTGTTGTTCATTCAGCGGGCAATCGAACGTCGTCTAACTCGGGCAATGGAAGGTATTTTCCATAGTCATAGACTGGGGTTTCGGGTTCACCATCTCCATTTTCACTACCATTCAAGAAGTCTTAGAAGTATTCCCTCCATTAGTACTCTGGGCATCAGTCGATAGATCAGCTCCCTGGATCATGCAAGAATTTGTTCCGGGCCAAAAACCTTATGTAAATGGCTGCACTTTGTCAAGCTCTTCATAATCACTCATTTTGGTGTTTTTATTATTTTTTTTTTTTTTTTTTTTTTTTTTTGGTGTCTGTGGAGGCTGAATTTTCCGACAGTTGTGCCGAAGATGCCTTCTTTGGTCATCCTGAGCATTAATCCACAAACTTTCACATCGTTGCGCGAACAGCGCTCATAAGTACACTCATAAAAGACGTCCTTGCTCGCATCCTCCGTATTTTCCGTCGAGGCATACTTCCATTTGTGGCGAAATGTTCATCAACTCGCCTACTGAGTCTTTCTTCAAACACTAATCCGACACCAAATTGTGCGCTCTTTTATATAACCGCTGTGGTCTCATCCGACACAATTCTTGAAAGGCGGTGATATCATCCTTTAGTCTTACGCGGACATTAACCAGCGGGGCAGTGGCACCCTACCAATTAAAGGATCAGACATTCCAAGTACAAGCCCTTAAATCATATTATTTAATACATTTACAGTGGTCATCATCAAAAGTGGGATCCCTTGGATGCCTCGGATTTGTTTTTTCCATTGAATCTGACTTTTAGGTGACGGGTCCCAAACCAAGCTCCCAATATATGGCGTTCATTGCAAGAGGAGTTTGAGATTTTAAAATCAATTAAATTTGCTTCATTTCAATATATTCATTCATGTTTATTAATTTGCAGTAAAATTAATTCTACACTGGAAAACTTCACAAATTTCAATGGTAGATTCTAGAAATAACCCTACAAATACATGCCGTGTCTCGAGACAGCTTCAATGAATTTTGTGCAAACATTTTGTGCGTTAAATTTTCGGTTCCATGTGAAACTTCCTCAGCACCTTGAGACACTTCAATGTTTGTCATCTTTAAATCTACGCAATTCACTCTTGATCGCCTCAATGAGAGGCTCCGCCGATACCCCAGAACGATTGGACGCCGATCTTGGTGGCCCAACCACTTGAAATGTTTCCGAGCGCTGTATGGGTCCAGCGCTCATCGGACGGCTTAATGGGGAGTGGGAACCATAAAGACTGCCACCCCAAGCACCGCTGGCTGGCGATGGTGGCTGTGTGGAATTATTGGATTTCGAAGTTTTTAATGGTTGGGCAGTGGCTGGACGGATATCAGAATTGTTAAGACGTGCGGCGAAGCTACGGAAAGGAAAAGTTGTAGAGATACCGTAAGTTAAATAAAAAAACAAATGGTATGTACCAATTTACCAACCTCAATACACCAGCTGATGAGCCGCGATTCTCCCGTTTTGTCGGCTTCCGCTTGTTGCTAAAGTCCAGCGTCGGCAGTGGCATCGGCATGTCATCTTGATTGGAATACATGTGTATGGCGCTTTCGAGTAGGTCTTCATAATGGGTTCTGATAGCTCCTGGATTGTTACCAAATCTTTCGTCGTCATCGTACCGCATCAGCATGTCGTCTATTGAGAATTTGTATGTGTATTTGTGTTTTTGTGGAAGTAAAATAGAAGAAGACAAAGGAAGGAAGAATGTAGATGGAGAATTGTGAGGATAGTTTTTATTTAGCGTTGAGAGCTTGGAAGTGTTAAGTGTTGAGCTGTCTGTTCAATCATGCAATCAATCAATCAAAATATTTAGGTCTACATTTTTATCTCATTAACTACGGTGGTGCTGGTCTCTAGTCTACAGTTGTATATTCTAGTTAGGTTATTTGGAATATGCTAAGAGCGAGCATTTTACACTCAATAACGTTCCCGTTCCCCATCTTTGTGGCTATGATTATCCCCAACTTCATTACCCGCATCAACGGCCTCTGCAGCTTCGCTCATGCGTTTCTTGTGTCGTTCCCAGACAATAGGACCAATAACACCCGGATCTGGGTTGTCACTCTGTGTTGCCGCAAAATTACTGTGCGTTGGCGCCTTTGGTGTGGGGAAACTTTCTATGGTCGCTATAGCCGTCGCATCAAACGTGTCTTGTCGGCTGTTCTGCTGCTTACGCACTTGACGTGTTGGCGCCTTTGCAGCTTGGTCTTCAACATTGTCGTAGTATGTAACAAACACCGGATCTAAGACCCGATTTAAGGGTTGCGGCAGTGAGCTTTTCGGAAAAGCTTTCACAGAAGCCATCGAGAGGAACGAACCAATACTACCGGTATCGGAAGATCGCTCAGTTGGCTGTAGTGTGCGTATGACTTCTTTATTGATGGCTTCTGTGACCTGTAACTGCTCACTATCGTCCTTATCGGCGTACATGCTCTTTTGGTGCAACAATTTATTGCGATGATAATTCACGTGCGTGTTAAAGGCTTCGTTTCGCTCAAAATTTGCATATGTCGGAGTCAATGCATCGTCATCGAGTGAGCCACTCACTACCTCATCGCCTGAGGATTGCGCGGCATGATGTGTACGTGGACTAGTCTCCAGCGAGCCAACACGATTCTCAGAGAGGTAGCGTCGTTTGTTCTTACGACGACTCTTATCGTGCTTCTTCTCCGTCATAACCGTAGTGTAGACAGCAGCTTCACGTCCTTCAGCCTGATCGTACTCGTGTTGTTGGGTATGCCGACGACGATGCTTATCGAACAACTTGGCAGCTTTATCGTCCAATATGCGTTGGACATCTGGTCCGGGCGGATTGATGGGACAATAAACTGAAGAGTCTGAGGTATTATCTGAAGAGGTAACCGAGTCGCGTCGATATTCTCGGCCCCTTGGCGGACCCGGAAAATTGATATGCGGCTCACGTATGCGCTGAGAGCCATCGTGTTCGAACGAGAAGTTCTGCACGCCTACGTCACGTGAATGTGTCGTTGTACGACCTGTATCCAAGCCGGTTTCTGTGGAAGCACCGCGTCCCGATTGTAGTTCAGCAAGTAGCTCATTGCGGCTGGTTGTCCTGGATAGTGGAAGAAATATAAAATGTGAGTGAGCGAATTCGAAAATTCCCAAAATACCTCTGTTCTTCCAATCTACGCTTCTCCCTCACACGCGAACGTCCCATCAGCAGTAAAGAAAGCAAGAGTAATAACACCAATAGAATGGCAATTGAACTTACTACAACCAAAGCGGTGTTATTCTGTATAGAGTCTATGAAACCTGCTTGACCGCTACGTATTGCCGGTGCCAGCGGTGTAGCCTGTGGCTCGCGCAAATATGCTGTGAAACATTAGAAGAAGGCATGTTAAGTTATTGTCTTATTGTAGAGGTGCTATTTAATTTGCTAAACTTTGCATACGTTCGGACTTCATGTAGACCTCTTGCCCAATAACGTTAGCCGCCTCACTTTCCGACACCAATTTCATATCGTTCGCAGCCGTAACTGCTAGCACCGGACGCCCATTAACGAATACTGAGTAGACGAGCTCGGTTTGATTTGCAATGGGCCGCTCATCGCTGAAAATTACGGAACTTTAATTATAAAGCTGGAAAATTAATATCTGAAACTTACATTTTCTCATTCACATCCTCATCACCCAGGCTATGTGTACCCTTCTGCAGCTCCTCCTCCGTGATTTGTGTGATGTTATGTATGATCACACGTACTTGTGCGTTACGTAGCAAGGGATTTTGTGGTGGATATGGCACCAGAGATGCTTGGGACTCTAAAAGTGATGCCGCAGCCTGAAGTTTCTCTGTTTTCGCGTCCTCCTGTATCAATTCCCACGGCACAATGGTTAAATGTGGTAGCTGTGTTGTGTTTTCGCCGTCGTCGTCGTGTAGGCCGTTGTCTGCTTCCGAAGTAAACTCGTTGGTTTCGGTTGTGCTGCTGGAAGGCGAGTACATCTCATTTTCCTCTGATGAAGTTTCCCATTCTGTGTTGCTATGAACTTTTCGTTTCGGTTGAATCGGTTGCCTGTTGTTTAGCGTCTCACCATCAGTCATGTCCAGCATCTCAGCATCGTCATCAAAATCTACGAGTCAAATATATAATTTTTATTTTTGGTTCTTGTTTTTGCTTTGAGATAGTTTTTGAAAATTCTTCATCTTACCTTGTGGTGTTGTGGTTTCGGGCGCATGTGTGCCTACTTCATGTTGTCTTCTGTTTCTACCTGCTGATACAGCAATGCCTGCAATCTGCTGAGCACCGTTGATGCCTAAATGCTTTGTTTGTTGCCTGTAATTAATCGATAAAAGTGTATACAAATTATTTTTTATCGATTACTGAAGACGGTTCATTTTTTTTTTAAATATCTCATATTATTGTTATAAATTATAAATCAGTGTTAAAAAATAACAAAAATTACGCTTCTTTCTTAGTCTATCAGTTAATTCGATAACAATAATAAATAATGAGTTGTTTGTTAATCGATAAAAAAAGTTATCGGTGTTGACCCACGGTTTATTCGAATGTCTAATTATGAAGAACCTTTTATTTCGTGTCACAATCGGAGGGGCTCACAATTTCTCATAGAAGCTATTAGACTCTAAAATTATTAACTCCAGTGCACTCATGTGTAAGTCTTAAAACTGCTAGGAACTCATATTAGGCAAATAATTGACTCCTCCTACATCTTCTCACACTCAACAGTATGAACCGATCACATTAATATTTTGAAAAGATTCCGTCTATCAGAAACCTACTGCCTAAACTTCACTTAAGTGAAGATACCAATAGAAGAGGATTGTACCAAGTACTCGATTCTTGTATACGGCTGTGTAAACATCAGTTAACAAAGCTGGTGCCAAAATCTACACAAGGAGCTTAGTATTAGCAAGCCCGCTTGGCTCGGGTCAGTATAGCGTTTTTCAAGCGGAACTTGTGGTCATATCTGATGCTGTAAATTATCTAGACTTATAGGTAAATTGTATGTGTAATTTCTCGGAGAACCAGATAGAATTAAAATACCCAGAATTTGTGTCAATAAATCAGGAATGGTAGAGAATTGTCAGTCCAGTCTGATACTAGTAAGGTGGCATGGGCACAGTTGCACTTTCAACAACATGGAACGGTTAATGCATGAAGCTCTCTGCTCGCAAGCTTAGTATGAGAGAGTTAGAGAGCGGAGCGAAAAGCTGTTTATACGCCTAGCGGATTCGAATTATTATTTAAAAAAAATTTATTCTCTTTACCTTTTGTAAACTGCATTTCTAATAATAAAAGGATCTATTTCTATGTTATCGAAAAACTTTTTAAAAGTTCATTAAATAAATATTTTCATAAGTACCTCGTAAATGCCAAACGATACAAACGCGCCAACTTCTCCTCCAACACCGGATTATCTTTTTGTGAATAGAAACCAGACATTACCGTCAATAGCCAGTATCTACGATCTGTTGCAGAGTAATTAAGTGGCGGTACAGCACCTGCACCCCAAGTGCCGCCTCCATCGTCGGGAGGGCAATCTAAACATATCGGTATATCGATTTCCTGAGCAATGTGTACAAAGATTTAACAAAACTTTAGTGATAACATTTTAAGAAATGCAAAGTCACAGTTACTTACGTTATTACCATCCACATAGACCGTTGCTACAACTGTTTCTGTCTTAACGATAACATCTTTGCCCTTACTAATACCAGTGTGCACTTTTTTCAAATAATCCGGTGGTCCATCGCCGGAGCCGGTCCAAAAGAAATCCTCTAGATGCACTTCTTCACGTATTTCGGGATAGTCATCGCCCAAGTCATCGTCTAAAATTTTCAAAGTACAGGCTGGGGTTTAAAAACAAATTTTGAATAGATATCATACACATAAGAACATTCCTAAATATTTTTTTTTTTTTTAAACAAAGAAAAAATATTTTAATAATTTTTCTAATATATTTTATCCCTATTTTTTCATTACCATTTTTATTTAATATTATTTTTTTACATTATTATATTCATTTTCCTTTATTTTATGTTAATTTAATATATTTTTTATTCTTATCTTATTTTTTTATTTTTATCTTATATTAACATTTTATTTTAATTATATTTTTTTTTTTTATTTTTATTCTATTTTATTTAAATTTCTTTTATATGTTTCTTTTAAATACTTCTTTATTTCATTTTGTTTTATTCTATTTTAACTTAATGTATGTTATTTTATATTATGATATTTGATTTTATTTTTTCTATTAATTTTATTTCATTTGTTTAATTAAATTTTTTTTCTTTTATTTTTTTATATTTTATTTTATTTATTTTTTTGTTTTATTTTATTTTATTATTTTAATTTTTTTATTTTATTTTTTCATTTCACTTAATATCATTATTTTTTATAATTATTTTATTTTTTTTCTTTACTTTTAATGATTTTTTTTTATTATTATTGATTTTTATTTGCTTTGTATATGTGATTTGATTTTTTTTCCATGAATTTTGTTTTATTTTGTGATATTTTTTTTTTTTAAATTAATTTTTTTAATTTATTTCAATTCTATTTAATTTATTTTAATTTATTTTATATTACGTTATTTGATTTTTTTCCTATTAATTTTATATTATTTCATTTTGTTTTATTTTTATTCTTTTATATTTTTATATATTTTCCTTTTTTATTTTTTTCATTCTTTATTTTATTTAAATTCTATTTTAATTTTTTTTATTATTTCTTTATAATTTATTTTAATTTATTTTATTTCATTTATTTTAATTTAATTATATTTTATTTTATATTATTTTTTCATTTTATTTTGACTCACTTTATATTATGTTATTTAATTTTATTTGTGTATATATCATTTTATTTTATTTTAATTTTTTTGTTTTATAGTAGTTTTTTATTTTATTTATTTTTAATTTATTTTTAATTTTACTTTATTTTATTTTAGATTTATTTTTTTGCAATTTTGAAATTATCCCTTCTGGTTTTTCTGCTTCTTCTGTCTCATATTGTTTATTTATTTTTTTTCATCAATCTAAATTTGATTCCAATCTGTTGAATACTAAGTTTTTTTTAATTATTCAGTTTATATTTTCCTGGTAACTATAGAAATATTAACAACATTACCAGACATTGTTTATCGACAAATCGTCAATTGTTACCAACGTTATTCTACTTTCCGTGTTTATTTTGTGCTTGTTATGTTTTTTAGCGTAACCAGAACTTCTGTGTACATATGTAATTATGTATTGCAAGCAATAACTTTATTATTTATACAATAGAAAGTATTTGGTTGTTGAGTTGGTTTGTTTGATCAATTGACATGATTTTGTATTGAGACCGGGCATGCTATGTATGAAGAGGGAAAATCTAACTGTTAAGAATTGTATTCTATATGTAATGGGAATATTTTATTATCAATAATTAAGTTAAGCAAATTTTTAATAAATATAAAAGATAAAAAAAATATTTTTTTTGCTTATTTTTCAATCATTCAGCTAAAAATAATGCTTACTTTATTATTGACAAACATATTTTGGCAGAATTTGGAGAGAAAACTTATTTTTTATTTTGTGCATTGGATGTTTTTTATTATGAAAATTATCGTCCTACATGCGAGTATTCTGCATAGAAGCTGACTCATGCGACTTATCAGTTCTTGCCTGCCGTATTTGAATAGGTTAGCCAGTACCATCGGCTATTCAAACATCGGCATGGTCAGGTATTGGAACTTACTTTTCATCCTCATATATTGGGATTATGTGTTTACCATGTCCTGGACTTTTACTTTCTGAGTCATTCGGAATATTGGCGTTGTGTTCGCTACATGAACTCAATATGCTCTGGTCATCGGTGACAAGATTATCTTTTCTAAATCGCCGGATCTTTTCGTAGAGTATTCAAGTATTTCATTCTGTAGATGTTCACCTGCATCGACTTCTCTCATTTTTGTCTAGAAAACCGCCTTGATTTCATCTTCAACAATTGGTATCTATCCCAGTTGACACGTGTTATGGTCGATCGCAAAGTTGCGAGGTAGATCCGAGTGGGTATTAAATCCTTTGTGTATGATGAATTTTTTTCTCAGCCATGGCGTTACAATTGCCAATAACGACATAACACACGACATAATATTTTGTTGTGAGCAAAGCTCATTGATGCATTCTAAGTGCTCATAAAAAATATATTTGGTCACTTCATCTTTCTCTTTTTTCCTTTGATGCAGGTTATGTCTAGACGACCAAATATTGTTTGTAGAAGGGATCGATTATTTTGAAATCAACTTGCTCAGAATACCCATTTTCACGCTATTGAATGCTTTATTGAAGTTTCATATCTCAATTGAATGGAGGCTATATGATATAATCAGAATGCTCGATTATATCATATAGCCTCCATTCATTTGAGATATGAAACTTCAATAAAGCATTCAATAGCGTGAAAATGGGTATTATGAGCAAGTTGATTTCAAAATAATCGATCCTTTCTACAAACAATATTTGGTCGTCTAGACATAACCTGCGTCAAAGGAAAAAAGAGAAAGATGAAGTGACCAAAGATACTTTTTATGAGCACTTAGAACGCATCAAGGAGCTTTGCTCACAACAAAATATTATGTCGTGTGTTATGTCGAATTTGGCCGGTTCCGAAAAATGAATAAATATAAATATCTCAAAAACTGAGACTAGCTTTTGTTCGAACTATTCTGACCCGAACTGTATATATTTCAATGATTATATTTCTGCTCCTTAAATACTTCGGATCAAAGTTAATATATCGTAGCCATAAAAATGGGCAGCAGACTTTCACGTCTTTCGCTGGCTTATTCATGTTAAGAAGTCTCTACTTTTTCTTTAATTTACTTGAAATGCTTGCCTATTTAGAAGCATAGAAAGATAATGTATGTAGCTCCCCCTTATTTAAAAATTAAGTTTAAAAATTAGATCTCGCGCACACTTTATAAAGAGATTGAAGCACAACCGTTCAATGAAAAAAAATCCCTCGAAAAATGTCGTAGAAAAGCTGCTCTGCTCTCGCGTTCCACAATAACAGAAATATTTAATGAAAAGCTTCAATATTGATTGGCATAAACAAAATATAATTACATTTCGGCCGAAAATAACGAAATCATTTGCAATTACCGTTAACAAAAAACCATACAATTAAGAGGAACCTAAACACTCATCTGTGAATAAAAAAGTAAATAGGTTACGAGTACAAAACAATTAAGTTCTTGTGTAAACATATTTATATACATATATATGTACGAGGGGATCAACAAAAGTTCCGTCAGTTGGTGACTTTCAATTTGTTTTTGTTACATCTAAAAATACCAAATCCTTTGCAATTACATTATTATTCTTTCTCTTAAAGCTTAGAACGATCGACAAAAAAGGTTACCAGAGCCCGCAATATATTTGAGGAAAGGACAGATGAAATTCCACCAGCAATGCAAAAAAAATCGCCATGTGATTCGCTTCGAATTTCGGCGTAATTTACAACCAATACAAAAATTCAGTTAATGTCAAATTGCCTGTGGAACGATTGCACTGTCTTTAAAGTCTATTTCTTAGTGGTTTCGAAAATTTGTACACCACCTCTTTTTGCGTAGAGGACGAACCCGAGAAGGTCGACCAAAATCTGCCACTGATGACGTAACTGTAGCTCTGATGAAGTCCAAAATTGACACAAGAAATTATTGCTTGGGCTTGAATACCATGGCTGTATCGCGAATATTGAGTAATCATCTGGGATACATGAAGAAATCTGCTCGTTGGGTACCACGATTATCAAATGAGACCCAAAAAGAGGCATTTTGCTCAATTTTTCTTAAGAAAATCCGAAACTGGTTAGTCTAGCAACTTTAATAAAGTCGTTACTGGTTATATAAGTACGACCCAGAAACCAAACAGCAGTCTATGGTATGGAGCCCAACAAGAGCAAGCCCAGCCGTAAAATCTTAGCAAAAAAAAAAACAAGCTAAAGTAATAATGTCAGTTTACTTCCCCCGATCTAAAATCGTAGTTGCTATTCCACTAAAATAGGACGGTAACTGCAAAATGGTACACCAAAGAGTGCTAACCAATAGCTTTCAAAAATTTGTTGGAAAACAACATACATTTTACGTCATGACAGTGCGTCATCCCAAACTCCTGAAATAGCGAAGGGATCGAAGAAATACGTCCAGCCCCATATTCCCCGGATTAGTACCCTGTGATATCTGGTTATTGCCAAAAATTAAAAGAGAAAGCAACAAGAAGATAATTAATGCGGTTAACTTAGTTGAAACACGCTTAGAATACCTTTGGGAAGTTAGAAACTACAATAGAATTTTTCCAAAAGGTTGGGTTACAATTTAAATAAATTTTTCGAATAATGGTAAGGTTATTCCACGATAAGTATGGTGAATCGGCTACTGTCCAAAAATCTGCAAGCATTAAAAAAGGAGCCACAGGTTTCCACCCACTTAAATATTGGTATCGGGATTATCATATCAGGTGTTATTGGTGCCCGCAATAAGTTGCAGATCTTTATTCAAAATCGAAATTTTTTCAATATCAGGAAAACCATTTGTCTTTGCCGCGACCTGTAGAAGCGACTGCATGATATATATGTCTCGTATATTGGTTAATAAAATAAGCTTCTTGGAAAAAAGTCAAAAACCTTGAATGGCTAAGAATGTCTGCAAAATAAGCGAGACTATATTCAAAATCTTGATAGTTTTATCTTTTGAGCATATTCGAATTCTGGCACACTTTCGAAACATTTTTTCGGATATTAAGTTTTCTATAGAGTTATGAGTTGTGTGAATCTTAGAAGGCGATACACCTTGTTGGAACAAAATTATTTACCGTTATTTTTCCCGTTCCGTTCCCACGACCTGCATTTGTATATGTTATGCCATAAAGGTTTTGTCATTTTTGTTTCAGTTCAGTTTTGCGTGTAATTAATTTTATTGATTGGCCCAAATAAACACAAATAAAGTGTCGAAAATGAGTTCTTTAACACCACACCATTTACTGACCAACTGGCAACAAAATTAATACGATTATTTATTAATGCTTAAGCATATGTCATATAGACGGATTCAACCATAAAGCGTATTGAATGTGCAAAGGACTAAATAATTTAGTTTGGGTGTTTTCGTTGTCTGAATCAAACACGGTCGTATTTTAGGTCAGGAACATATGTATGTACTGGCATATGTATGAATTTTGAAATGAATTCTATAATCAATAAATATAATTAATTATTATTAATTAATTAAGATTATGTTTAATAAAATTAATTATTATTAATTAATTAAGATTATATTTAATACTATTAAAATATCCATAGTTTATCCTTTAAACAAAAATCTTACGTTCGTTTCGAAAAGTTACAGACTCATTGATATGAAAATTTGGCAGATGTTTTTCGAAAAATTCAGTAAACAAATAACTTTTTGCTTAGACAAACAGAAAGACTACTCTTCCCTCCGGGAGTCGGACTAACCTTATGAGAGATAATCATATTTCGTTTCGATTTATATAACGTGAAATTCTTCTTTTACGGTAAGTGAACCGATCAATATGAAAAAATATACACATTCATGGATTGGTTTGGTTAAATATGGAATACTTTTTTTCCTCAAAATGGAACCGACCAGACACCTACAACCAGGTTCGATTTGATTGATATTTAAATAATACTTTCTTATCACAGAAAGATTGACAAAAAATAATAAAATTAGGATATAAACATAGATCGTGCGAAGCGAACATATCGCATTTTTATTATTCTGTTCCTACCTGTTACAGCTGAATTTTGTACGTTCAACTGGAGTGTGAATAACGACAGATCCGAATGATGTCATTAGCTTACTTCGAAGCATTCATCTTGATAATTTCGTGAAAGACTTTGAGCAGCAAAAAAAGTGACGCACACATATAAATAAGTAGTTATATTAGATCAATAATATATGGAAAACGGGCTTCGTCTAACATCTAAAGAGCATACCAAGTACCTGGGAGTAATTTAGGATAACAAGCTATGAGCCGCTTTGGCAGCTCAATGGGAAGAGGGAGTGAAAAACGCGTGTCTGAAGATAATAAGTTCTGCATAGGGCTTGTCGCCTGGTCTGCAGTATTCGCGTTACCCAGTGGCCGTCAGGAAACCATTGAAGTGACTACAGCGAACTCTTCATAAGTAGGACAGGAGAGCTAAGGTTCATTCCGCAGGCTGCTCATTCTTAAACGTACGACAACGAATCGACATGTCTCAATTCGACTCAGATTAATTAGTCAAGAAATGATGGACAGAATAGACCAGGTGGGCGGGACGGCCGAAAGTAGACGGCTGCATATATACTGGCTTCCAGGCCACAAGGGTATTGTGGAAAACGAAACGGTTGATGAGATCGCCAAACGTGTCGTCCGTCTGGTTACCCAGCCACTACAGGATATCCGAAAATTTTTTAAATAAACGCTATACATTAAGACCAGAGAGGTTCCAGAACTCGTTTTTTTCGATATTCACGGTTTGGTTCATCATGAGTTCGTTCCAAAACGACAAGCGGTCAATAAAAAGTTTCCAATCCGTGGAACCCGTTCCGATTCGATTGAGGCGCTAAAAGAAAATTCGAAGAGTGAACTGAGCTCGATTGATTTCAACAGCTGCTGCAAGCAAACTGGTTTAGCACAAAACCCACTTTTTGCTCACCCGATTTGAAAAAGACCTGAGGTTAGTCGCTGACCTAATACCAGCTCAAAGCCGACAGGCATACACACGTACAACAAGGGCATTAGGCTTAGTGTGACACATTTAGGAAGTGCAGGAAATAAGGCATGAGCATGATACTGGAACACCCTTCCGCTTCTTACCCATTTTATCGAGAAATTGTGCAGCTTCACAGTTTAAAAGATCAAGTGAAGGATCAAACTTGAATATCAAAGCTCTCGAAAACTCGGCAAAAAAAAACATTGAAAACTTACACGACACTTAGAATTAAACTGAAGCTCCATCTGGCTATTCAAAGAACCAGTAGGACTATGTGAAGCATAACAGTAAACGAATATAATCGAATCTAAGCTGTGTAAGAATAAATTACTGCATTAAAAAAATGCTAAATAATTTTCAGCGCTTAAAAATAGACAACATTTTAAGACTTTCACAATATTTTTTTTTTTTTTAATTTTTAAATGGACAATGGAATGTAAGAATATCAAAATTTTTCTTCAATTCAAATCGATGACCTTTGTTTGAAGGTTTTAAATTATTTAAACAATATAATAGAGCCGCTCCTTAAAATATGCAAGGTCAGCGTCCAAAATAGTTGGTTTAAAAATCATAACTAGTTTTTATTCTAACAAAACTAAGTATATGTATTTATTAATAAATATATATATGTATACATATATAAGAAAAATATTTTTCCTAAATATTGACTTCCACAATAACTTTCACTGAATTTAGACAGCTCAATTTAAGCAAAAAAAGAAACATTTTTCATATGTTTTTTTTGTTTTTTTACTTTGATTCTGGTAAAATTTATGACATTTTTTAATGCTTGTTTTCTATCTGCGCTTGTAGAAAAACACAAACAAAAATTGAGAACAATAAAAACGCACCTACGCGCAATCGCTTTTGCCTAAATCAGCCACGCAGAACGGCAGAGGTCAACGAGAGCTAATTATATATGTATGTATGCATATCAATTAGGCCGCAAAGCTCGAACTCACTGCTTACCTACAGGAGGAGGTGTTCAACCAGACAAAGAACTCTGACCGCAACAAAACAAAGTGTGAAGTGAACGTAATAAAAAAAAAAACAAGTTGTCATGCTTATTAACCTTTTTATAAAAATAAAGAAGGAAGTTGTTGTTTTTTTTTAATTTTTTTTTTTTATTTGTTTTATTATTGAATTGTTTTTTTCAAATTTTGCATTTATTTCATATTTATTCTTCGTTTAGTAAAATAACTAAAATATTTTGAACGAGTGAAATTCTTTAGTAAATTCTTACTTCGCTGCCCAACCAACCTACCATGACTTATTTGTATGAGCGGCAGACCAATGTCCGCGACACAGCAGCTGCAGCTCAGCCACCAAGCGAATAAAACCAATGTGGTCGGTGACACATTTTCAACCAGCATGTTGACAGTAAATTATATGTTTTGGTGTTTTGTTTTAGTTTTATTTTTATTTATTTATTTTTTTTTTTTGCTTATTTTTTCTTATTGCTGGCGTAATGGCAGGCCGAAAGGCCAATCTGTCAGCTCTTACAAACACTTAAAACAACGTTTGTTAAATAATTGACGAGCTTTTAATGGTTTTCGGCGTACGAAATTGACGTCACTTGACGCAGAGACACTTTGTTGTGATTTCAACATTTTTAATGAATTTTTGGAAATTTAATTTTTATTTATTTTTTGTAAGCATTCGTGATTTAAAGAGTTCTTTAGAATTTTTTTTCTTTTTTATTTAAATCATATAAGGTAGAAATGTTGATCGAAATAATTTTTTTTCTAATTTTTTTTATTTCACTTTTATAAATTTTTAATTTCTTTAATTTGTTTTTGTTTTTTTTTTTTTAATTTTTTCACAATTTTTTAATTTTTTTTCTAATTTTTTAATTTTTTTTCTAATTTTTTATTTTGTTTCAAATTTTTTTTATTTTACTTTTATAAGTTTAAAATTTTTTTTTTTTTATAATTCTTTTAGAATATTTTAATTTTTTTTTCTAATTTTTATGACTTTTTTGTATATTATAGTTTTAATTTTTTGTTTTGTTCTTTAAGAAATATAATGCTGCAGTTAATCCTGAAGTTCTTACGTCCACACTTATTAGCTTACTTCATTTTTACTATTTCTTTTGTATATTTGAATATTAAAAATTTCGTCCAAAGCACACATTTTTCGTTCACTACACTCGTCTACAGTTTTGAGGTTTTTCGCGCTGTTAATTCGCTTTGGCAATTAACTTGCTTAAGCAAACATTAGTGATTTAATTACACTTCAAAAAATTTCACTTCACAGACTTTCCACTTGCGCCTGCACCAACACACACACACACGCGAGCACTGCACACATGTGCTACCTAGCAAATATATGAAATTGTTTGTTTTTTATGTTTTGTTTGTTTTTTTTTTCTCAACAATTTTCCACACTTTTCCGCTAAATGCAATTTTTTGCCGCTCGCGTCGTTGAATGTCAGTTTAGAACTGATTCATTTAAGCTCCCGTACGTGCGTACTCCGGTAGGCAATTCCATGACATTAACAACACACACACCCATACATACATATGTATGTGCATTAATATCCACATACTCGTGCTCAGAGTCCAACTAACGTAGGTTGGTTACTACCCCATTCATCACTTTATTCTTAACTAAATACATATAAATATGTATGCAAGTATGTATGTTTGTATGTAGTACCGTTTATGGTGCAATATTTGTTTTATTACTGACGTAGTCTCTCGTATTTTTGTTGTTATTGCTGCTAAAAGACATTTTTTGAAATTTATTTTTCTTTGTTTACAAATGCGCTCACCTGTTTGTATTTGTACTCACTCTCTCACATCTTTGGTCGTTGCTCTCTGTTTTGGTAGCTTCAATGCCTGGTCAGTTACCTATGGCAACAACAAAAGGGCGTAAAAGTTTATAGGAAACGTAGTAAAATGCACAGGTGCCATAACTTGTTTACATACAATATTTATGTATTTATTTACATATTTATTTATTTAAGAATTACCTTTTAGATTGGCGCGTATTTTATAGTGCCATGCTGAGGAGGGTTTTGTAATCGAGACTCAATGTGTTTAGTGCCCATTTCAGATAACATTCACCGAATTACGTATTGCATGTAACTAGTGACAGACCAGTTACTGCATGTCTGTAGTCAGTTTAACTATTCAGTGACTATTCAGCGAATTGTTAGTATGTGAGCAATGAGGAGTTACTTCGGTGAAGTACAATGAATTTTTGTTTGCGAGGGCGACGGAAAACTTAAAAAAAAAATGTTAGGCTGATTTGTTTGAAATTTGATATATAACTGGATTTTAGCTCAGAAACTGAAGTTTATCTCAAAAACCAAAAAATTTTCAAATTTAAAATTTATTGGTGTTTTGAAGACTTGAGAGTAGCTCTATCATTACTGGAACAGTTAAAGGCCCAAACGTTTTGAGTTTTTTCCAATATATTGAACAAAAATCTTCTTCCCAAGTGATACATGAACGAGTATCAACCGAGTATCGGACTACTCGCACTACCAACATTTTTTTTAAATCAGTTTAACTAGTGAGATTTGTACAGGGTGCGCCATCGATATGTGGTTGATGGACATTTTGCATAACTTAAACAATATCCAATGAATTTCGATCATTATCAAATTAAAGCCTCACAATTTCTTCCAACTATGCTCGAAAAACAACGTCGATTAAATTATCCCCTTCATTGCCCAAAAAAAAAATTTCGCTCTTTTTCGGCATTTTCCATGACATTTGCCAGCATCTCGGGCGATATCGCAGCGATTTAAGCTCGAATGTTGTTCTTCAGCTCGTCCAAAATATTCGGTTGTTGTTAAACACTTTGCTTTTCAAAAAGCTCCTCAAGAAGAAATCGGGTGCAGTCCAAGAAGTCCTACAAGAACTGTGAACTATTGGGTTGCCCAAAAAGTAATTGCGGATTTTTCATGTAGTCGGCGTTGACAAAATTTTTCAACGGCTTCTTTCAGTTATCAGCTGCCACTTTTAGAAAAAAAGTGCGCGAAATTTTGTTTATATTTGTTTGTTTGGCGTCAATTTTAATATGGAGCCCAAAAAGGAGCATTTTCGTCATATTTTACTTTATTATTTCCGTAAAGGAAAAAACGCGGAGCAGGTTGCTAAAAAGTTAAGATGTGTATGGTGATGAAGCCTTAAAAGGAAGACAGTGTCAAAATTGGTTTCGCAAATTCCGTTCTGGAGATTTTTCACTTAAAGATGAGCCACGTTCAGGTCGGCCAAATGAAGTTGATGATGACCAAATCAAAGCATTAATCGAATTGGATCGTCATGTAATTGAGCGTGAGATAGGAGAGCAGTTAAATATACCAAAATCAACCGTTCATTATCACATAAAAAGTCTTGGATTGGTGAAAAAGCTTGATATTTAATTTGATGTATTGAAAGAAATTCATTTAACACACCGAATCAACGCTTGTGATATGCACCTTAAACGCAATGAATTCGATCCGTTTTTAAAACGAATAATAATAATATTTACTGTCAACAATTGGACAAATTGAATACAGCCATCAAGGAGAAGCGACCAGAATTGGTCAATCGTAAAGGTGTCATATTCCACCAGGACAACGTTAGACCGCACACATCTTTGGTCACTCGCCAAAAACTGAGTGAGCTTGGCTGGGAACTTTTGATGCATCCACCATATAGCCCTGACCTTGCACCATCAGACCACCATTTATTTCGATCTTTGCAGAACTCCTTAAATGGTAAAACTTTCGGCAATGATGAGGCTATAAAATCGCACTTGGTTCAGTTTTTTGCAGATAAACCCCAGAAGATCTATGAGCGTGGAATACTAAATTTGCCAGGAAGATGGCAAAAGGTTATCAAACAAAATGGCAATTATATATTTGATTAAAGTTCATTCTAAGTTTTATTAAAAATGCATTTACTTTCTTTTAAAAAATCCGCAATTACTTTTAGGGCAACCTAATAATCTCAATATATTCGAAACAAGTCTCAGCCCTTACATATATGTATGTGGCGATAGTTTTATTGTAATTGTCGCCTTTTTCATTTCAGAGAAGGTGAAATGATGGATATAATGAAGCTATCATGAAAATTTTAGCAAAATCTTCTTGGTACTTTCAGATTCTACAAGCTGCATTTAGAGTTACTTAGTTAGTTCGTTAATGAGGTTGCTCGATTACGGAATGCCTATGCTGGGCCTGTTAATGAGGTTTGTTTTGTTTTATTTTTTAAGATACTCAAACGACTTGATGCGTTTTATGAAGTTAGGAGATTAATGATGCATACAGGTGCAAGCTCTGCAAGGTGATCGAGTAAAAAATTTCTGAGGAAATGACAGTGGACCGCATTGAGTGCTGGGCTGTGGCAGTTGTGGCCAAAGACGGTTAGCAAAAGTCCGCCGTTTTACCAGGAGTCCCTATAAGACAGTGTCTGGTTATCATACCAGTTGTTTAGATGAAGTAAAAACTTAATACTGATCACTTCGATTTGTCCGGTGACAAAGCTTCGCTCCGTCATTTGCGGCTGGCCCTCCTCTTAACAGCTAAACTTAAGAGACATTTTACCCAGGAAAGAGGTATGCCAACGTCATGTGCAAAGTTTACCACGGTTATAACCACGTTGTTCCTTGGCTGGATGAATTGATGCATACACATATACATCCATAATCATATATGCATCGTATGATGATTTTCTTTTTCCCAAACCCTACCCACAACTGCATGTGATTCGTCTTCTCACTTTAGCTCACCTCCAAACAGGGTCTACCTTTGGCCTATATTTATGTGCAAAAGAATCGTTTCTGGCCACTCCCAGGTGAATGCCAGCCAAAAACTTTCCTCACTTGCGTTAACTTCTACATGTGACCCCATCTCCCATCATACCCGTCCTACTATATGGCACAGCAGTCTTCGAGCGAAGAGTTTTGCGAACGATTTATGGTCCTTTGCGCATTGGAAACGGCGAATACCGCAGAAAAATGAACGATGAGCTGTACGAGCTAAATGATGATATCTACATAGTGCAGCCAATGAAGACACAGCGGCTATGCTGACTAGATCATGTCAACTGAATGAATGAAAGCACTCCAGCTTTAACAGGATTTGATGAAGTACCTATTGATGGAGGCAGGGGAAGAGGAAGATCTCCCCTCCGTTGGCAGGATCGGGTCACTTGGTCACTGGCGCCAGACAGCGAAAAGAAGAAATGAATGGAGCGCTAATATTGGTTCGGCTATAATCGCGTAAGCATAGCCCACGCCAATAAAGAAGAAGAAGGTGATTGTAAAAATGTGCGCAAGCCCGCCCACACATATTTTTATATACAAAAGGGACTAGTTTAAGTTATTGCTAGTTCACAAGCATTCATTGACCGGATATCACTAGCGCCATCTAGCGGTGGCTAGTAAGAATGTGACGAGAAACTGTTAATAACATTTATCTGTAAGGGAACTGTTGAGTTTATGTAAATAACAGAGGTACAAAATTTAAACAAATAAAATAAACATTTTCATACAGAAAAAAACAAATTTGAACATCTCATTAATTTCCAAATTTAATAATATATGAAAAGACACCAAAATATAAAGGACAAAAAAATTATTATCTTTTCTCTTCGAAGGAAGATTAATTATGCAACATTTGATCCACTCTAGTCTAGCTATAATATTTATTTGAGGTGTGTTAAGAAAATACCGAGAATCTTATTTTTTTTAACAAAACCTTTATTTATTCGATGCTA